CGATCCCAATACGAAGTTCGCGAACATCAGGGATATCCATCGGGCTCAAATCGAAGCGGGTGAAAAGGAGGTTATCACGGCTGAATCCAGCGACTCTGAATGCCCTAGTGAGGCTGGCAGCTGTATTGTAGTGGGTGTGGTTGAGGATCAATAGTTAATAGTAATGAGGAGGTTGGGTTGTGATCCCATCGTTTTTGTGGTGCCAGAAACAGGGGGGTGCCAGGAAGTGGGTATGTTGACTTACTTGATAACTACTCCCAGCATACATTACGACATTGTTTGTTGCTTTGATTGTTTAACGCCTGTCCCATCCGTTAGGGTCAGGGCGCCTTCGTCGGTTGTCGAGTACTGCATACGCCAAAATAGTGCCACTGCTCTGTCTATTTCCATGTGCTTTCTAACCCATTTACCTTGACGCTCACTCTCATGCTATTAGGTAGGTCTGTGGTACTCAACACAAAGCGCGACAACGGCTGAGTCGTAAAGAACGTGCTAGTCGCGCTATCGAGGCCACCGTTAATAAAGACCTCAAGAATCGACCTATCAATCACTCCACTGAGACTCCACGAGTTTTGTTCTGTTGTCAAACTACTAATGGACGTTCTTTCTGTGAAAAAGATATTTTCGAAGCCCCGGGCGCCATTCCGGTTGACAAAAAACACGGGATCCCCGCCGAAGAAGTATCCGCCGTTGATGTACTCCCCGGTAGCAGGACTCGAGAACGTAAAGTTCAAAGAAGCAGTTGCTGAGATATCTTTCTCTGGAATGCCTGTCACATTGACCTCCCAGTGAATCGCGTTGGATGCCACATCGGCATAGTCCACGATCAGTGTCCCGTTACCCATGCTGTGGTTGGAAGCCAGTTCACGACCCAGCACAGGCTCCAAATTGTACGGGGCCGAGACCAACTTCCATCCCACTCGCTTCGCCTTAGTCAGATAGTTCTGACGCGGAAGACTCATGATGCTTCGCCAGCCTTCCTTGTCAGTCGGAACCGTTTGAGCATATTGCCAATTGGATGCCCATGCGATTGACACCGGGAATTCCTCGGCCGGGACGCCGTAGAACCATTGCCCGGCATAGTTATCCTTTCCAAAGTCTGCAATTCTCGCAGCCGCGTCAACAGCCTCAAAGTGAGTGCCGTTGAAAGTGCCAGGATGATACTCCGTTATAGAACCTCCTAGAGGCGCACCTGGGTTTATGCTGATGGCCATAAGCCACATGTCGTCCTGCCTCTTGCCCTCTGCGTCTATGTAAGGCATAGAAATCAGGTTTGGGCACTCATACTGCAGACCGAGAAGCCCATGATGGGAGAAGTTGCTAGTTGGTGTCCAATCTTTCAGATTGGGTGACGTGAAGATACCGATGGCAAAGTCATGTGGATAAGCAACCACCATGACCCACGAGCCGTTGTAACGGACGACTTTGGGATCGCGGAACTGCGCACTTGTACTATTGATGACGGGGTTGTTTGCATATGGAGTGAAGGTGTACCCTCCATCTCTGGAATAAGCGATACCCTGAGTCTGCAGCGTCGGCGATGCCAGAGTCTTGTTAAATTAGCCACAGTGGTATCGAAAGCTCAGTTGGTGTAAACTCACATAGATTGCAACCACGCCGTTGTCTTGGTCTGGGAAGAAGCCGGATGTATTGTTCACATCAACAACAGCACTTCCAGAGTAGATGAAGACATCTTCTTCGGGGGGGAAGAGAGCTATGGGCTGGTTTGACCAATGGTATAAGTCTTTGGATGTTGCATGTCCCCAATGCTGGTTGCCTGCAACAACGCCCGTAGGATTGTACTGGTAATACAAATGCCAAACGCCATCGGCGTCTCGGAACATGCCATTGGGGTCGTTCATGAAATTTTGAGGGGGAGAAAAGTGCACTTGAGGGCGGTACGCGCCATTATAATCGCCAACGATGGGTGTCCCAGTTGGAACATGGACAGGTTGAGAAGAAATGGTTGATTGGCCAAGTGTATGCCGGGTGAACTGGGCGACACCGACAAGGGTCGTCAAGAAGGCACTGCGAATCGCCATGGTATCTATTGTACTAGAAAAGGAGGCATCCGATAATATGACATTTACTATCACCATAGGGAGCTACTAACGCGATTTATATACAAAAGCCTAATCGCCGAGAGACCGCTTTTACGAGAGTTGTGTCCACTTAAGGCCACGAGCCTAAATGCTTCTCCACAAGAAAAGATGCTTTACCCCACGGAGAACAGGTCGCAAGGCATTCCCAGCGTTGTCTTGACTCGCCCTCCCCGCGATTTTAGTCATGGGGAAATGGCGGAGGAAGCTATCCTTGAAGGAGTGGACAAACGTTAGCGTACTGGTACGACATAGCCAAGGTAAATTTGGGCACTGAGGTAAAAGTTGGCGGGGCTTGTGCGGTTTAGTGAATAAATTGAGTGTTTATCGGGCCGACGATCGAGAAACGTGTTTGTGATATCCACTTCGGGGAAAATTTCGCCTTGGCTAATGGGCCAGAGGAAGACAAGAGGGCGCACGGAGAAGTCCTCGCTGAAACTTCTTGATTTCTCCTCACCTAACGTACGAGAGAGAGGAGCATCCCACCCGGAAGCTAAGATCAAGAGGGATGAATGAGCTTCGCCTTGGAGGTTGCTCTTCAGATCATCTATAATACGACGAGTCTCACCTTTTCCGGTAATCCGAAGGTACCATAGCACATGGCACAACTAGTTTTCCAGTCTGTCAAAGGGTAGGACAGGGCGGTATGCATGTCAACCTAACAATGGATGGTACATGCATTAATCACAGCAGGATTCAGTGTCGGAACACTCCAAGAGCGTTGATGTCTAGGTTAGTCCGCTTTATCGCCAATGATTGAAGTGCTGTCATGCCTGTATGGAATGGTTGCAAGATGTCTCAGACGTATCTCGTACATAGTGACTTGCATCTGTATGTTGGATACCCTACTCCGTAGAATCGTACTTAGATAATACACACTACACTCTCTTTCTCTCGTATCCACCCCTATTCTGGTGGCAGCTGCGAACCTCGTAAGTTCTTCTTCCACAATCTATTTCGCCTCCTACCAGACCCAGTAGATTCTTGCAATATCAAATATGAAGCCTCTTTCTTCTTTGGCCCTGCGTGGGTTGTGCGGCACTCAAATTTCCGGCCAGAAAGGGTCTCCAAGTTTAAAGACGGTCTCTATATTCAGGAATCGTTCAAACGAAGACGTAAACTGGAAAAACTACGATCAGATCACGACGGTTTAGAGAAATGTAAGGGTTGAGGAACAAGTGGCTGAAATGACCCTATAAAGGCTATGATTTGTGTTCTCCAATTCTTTGATGAGATCAAGTTTCAGCTTGTCTTAGATGCTGTGAACTGTGGATTATTAGACCCGGAGGATGCTTCCAAAGGTCAAAGATGAACGCATTTCTTAGGGATTTCAGTTGGATGAATAGTTAGCAACATCGAGCTCGCATAATTCTGCTAAGAACTAAACTTAGGTTTGCTTGACACCATAGTCTAGAATCACCTTGTCGCCTAGTCATTCCTTGCGATCAAATCATAACGCTATATGCTGGGGCATGCATCTCTCTATGTAGGCACTGATCATGTACAGAAGATGCGTCGAGTGCGTTTATTAGCTAAAGGAACCACAAACCTAGAGAAGTAGATGGGCCCATGTACGGTAGTCCAAATGCCGAGATAAACCGAACTCAGTTTACAGCATACAGGTATCATCGATATTATAGACTGAGTTAGCTCTACCTCATGGCGCTATTGAGAAATGACCGCGGCGTTCGAGAAGCATATTGTTTCAAATATCAATTCTTTGTTTGTTTGATCAATTGAATCAAACTATGTATTAGTAAATATTACTGCCTAGTTCTTAAGCTGTTGACTACCACAAACCTGGCCTTTCAGGTCGATTTCCTCAAACATTGGGGTCAGCGGCCCCAAACCCCCGAAGCCCGCTATAATATGGAATTTAGTCCAAAAGCACCTAAGATAGACACCAAAGACTTGAGCAAGAGTCTGCTGAAAATGATTCAGCGTTCTAAGTCCTTTGTTCAAAGAGACAATATTAGAGGCGTCGTCGGGGGCTGCGAGAGGACCAATGCCGCACCTCTACGTAACCTATCCCATCCGTCGAGGCATAACGTCAATACAAGCATCTCCATTGTTTCTCCAATTTCACAAAATTCCTTGAAGATGCACTCGTGGGGATAATGGAAATATGATCGGATTATCACATAAGGTAATTCGCTAGTACCCCTCACAAGGATACGTATCTACCTTATGTACTGACATCATGCCGACAGATAGGATAGATCTTGCAATCACAGTGTTAAAGAGCTAAAATTATATCGTTAGGCCGATCAGGCCGACAAATGTGCGAATGGTAAGGAACTGCTCTATATCGATACCAGTGTCTACAATGTTTTTGACGCTGGTCTGTATGGGCAGAAGGTTCAGTATAAGTAAGGCAACGCTTATTGCCCACATGACTGGAAGAAGAGAAGCATCGAAGACTGTGGATTCACATCGAAAAGAGCTCTATATTGCAGTCCCAGGAGTTGAAGAGACCCAAGAAAGCCGCAAGGGCAATATGTATTGGCGCCTTCGAAGCCATCGATACCCATCCCAGAATTTAGGATCTGGATGAACGGAAGGGTCCCACATAGAATGCGCAAACACTCCCATCTTGAATCCCGCGGGAAGGATTGAGCCATCGGGAAGCGTAATGTCGTTCAAGGCCAGCCTGCTCATGCTCACCACGTTCGGTGGCTTTATGCGTTGGCTTTCCTTGATCACGCTGTCCGTCAGTCTCAGCTTATAGAGCGCTGTCTTCTCCCATCCGTCCTGGCTGATAATCATGACAATCTCCTGGCGGAGGGCTGGGATAATCTGTGGATGGCCAATGATACCGAATAGGGTCTGAGCGAAGAGGTCGGTTGTGGTATGAACAGCAGCCATGGCGAGGGCAATTTGTGCCCGGCCTACGTCATAGCTCTGACCCTTGGCCATCTAGGTGTTCGAACCATTCGACCGCATCATTTCGTAACTCCGGCTTCAAGCCCCTAGCAAGTCGTTGTTGATCTTCCAGTTGGCACGCCTTTAATATTTCGTGTCGTTTGTCCTCGTGCGCGTACAGTCTTGCACTCTGGCAAAAACCAATGGACAATGTGACGAAATCCAGGAGGGTATTTCCGGAGCTCAACACAAGCCATGAAGCTGTTCACGGTGAATTCCTTGGTAATTTTGAGCCAGGCCGGGTTGCGGCAGCCCACGTCGCCAAGAAATACACGAGATGATGTGCGCGCAACAAGTTTTAAGAGTGCGGACTTCAGTACAGCCTCCTTCTGTTCTGCAGTGTGTCGGTTGCATTATTCAAGCGACGCCGGGCCATTCCACATTTTTAAAGCCACTTTACCTTTGGATTCCTTGAAGATCTTTCGGCATGCTTGATCGCACTCGTCAGCTAGAGGTACAGTTACCTTTTTAAGAAATGTGTCAGGACATATTGAGTCATGTAAATTTCAGAACACCAGATAGTCCACGGACCGAGAGATTGTGAGATCTTGATTCTGGTAACGTCAGTGACCAGGGAGTTCAGGAATGCCGTCTTTAATATCTCAAACCCAGGAACGTCTGAAAGAAATTGCTGCAAGGTCCGTAAGTGAACCAGCCAGTTACCGAACAGATGCGATTGCCAAACCTGGTTGACAAATTCCATGAAATGGAGGTCGGCTTCGTTGCGAATGCCAATGACAAATTCTGGGGAATGATAACCGTCTCGCCTATATCGGCGATAATTCGAAAAGGGGTAGTAATGCCGACCTGCATGAATGAGTGAAAGTCAAGTTGAGACAGAACTTACGAGCCACTTACCATAGCAAAACCGTCTTTGATGAGTTTGACCGAGTCAAATACGAATTGTCTTCTAGCCTTCAATTACCAATGTCGAAGATGGAGGTAGAGACGGTGACATCCGGAAATTTCGTGAGTTTAGATCTAGTATTGAGGACGGGAAAGGTAATGCAGAGAAGTATGAAGAACATGGACATGAAGAGAGGTCTCAAAGACAGCGCCTCAACAACAGGTGCCCCGACAGTAGCATGGTTCGCAGCCATTGAGGCATCTGGAATAGTCTTGGCGTCCATGCCTATAGCTGCTGACGATTGCAAGAGAAAAGTGCATGGGTACTTGCACGGTGTCCATCTGGCAGGGAACACTATTAACGATGGGAGCTTTGGTCGTCGAGAACGCGACCATGGAGTTTTGAATCGGCAGGGAAGTCCAAAGCCGTGACGGTCAAAGTTGAACGGAATTCAGGGACCCATTGCAGGACATGAACCTCCTTGTGGGGGGTTTAGGCTAAACGAGCCAGCTTTCAGGGCTTGCAGCCCAACGACTCTGCAAGGACGCATATGAGAGGAATCTTTCGTGAGGAAACCCTTTCAAAAAGATCTGGCACGGTTTAATTGGGGATCTCGCAATGCTCTCAACGCCAATCATAGTTGAGTCTGAGAAGGCTTCATAGGTGCCAGGATTTTTGCCTATGACGAATCTAGACGCTCACCGCTGAGGCTCTCTGCAAGACTAGTATGGTTGCTTTAGTGCTGTGATCTTTTCTGTTTTGGATGTCTCACGTAAATCGAACCAGAGTGTCGCTCTCTTCGATTCTGAATACCCGCTTCTGCAAGCAAGGCCAATTTCATAACTAAGGCTGGTTTTGGAAGGGGGCCTGCAGGGCCGAGAGCTGTAATCCGAACTCCGGCTTCATCTCAATGACTCATGGCCTCTCGGATAAATTCTAGAGGTAACGTTTGCACATTTGTCAACTTCCCTCTCGCACTATAGCATTTTCCAGTCTCCGACCAATGTTTGTGCGTTTTTAACTCAGTAACACCTTAACATCAATTATCGTCGAACTATTTGCCCGTCGTTGTGATCATGGATTTATACATCCGACCACTATCAGTCAACGATCTTGATCGATGCGTTGCAGTGGAGGCCGCAGCCTTCCCCCCCGCCGAAGCAGCGACTCGCGAAAAGGCAAGTTGCTTTCCATATCGGCCTTCGTTGTTACGAACAAATTCATCATCAAGCTACATCTTATGACCCAGATCCCTGCCAATTCGTACATAAGTAGCCACCAGCACACATATTGCCGCAGTTTTCAGGGGCAAGGGCGCGCTTGCAAAGAAGGCCACCGAACATATCTAATTCGATTGTGCATTCAGATTGAATATCGACTGACGGTATGCCCCGAACTCTGCTTAGGATTATTTGTTCGTAAGGGCAAAAGTAGCCCAGAGAGCGTTATCCGACAAGGGATCACCCCGGTCTACAGCCCATCCGAAACTTCGAGTCGTGATGAACTTATCGCACACACAATTTCCACCAAGTCAATCTCTTCTGTTGTCACAGACGAGGATATGGCTGTCCCATCTGCGTGGAAGATAAACCCGACCGCTACATACGACGTGGGGCATCGACCTGAAGGCAGAACTATCACTTTGCATTCACTGGCTGTCGCGCCCCATTTCCAGAAGTCGGGTTACGGCAAAACCCTCATGGCATACTACATCGAGCACATGATGCAAACGGCACAGGCAGAGAGAATTTCCATTCTCACTTACGACAGGCTGGTTTCGTATTATGAAAAGCTAGGCTTTACACACTATGGCAAGAGCCAATCCGAGTATGCTAGAGTAGCTTGGCACGATTTGGTATGGTCTCTCGAGGGCAATCATACAAGCTTCCTACTAACGTTCTCTATATAGGCTTACGTATTCAATATTACGTGACCAACGTCGCGAAGACATTCCTAACGATCTAGAAGTCTTCAGTTTATACGTCCAAATTTCTCCTTGGCAGCTAGATCAAAGTCCGGCTTTTCATTCTAGGCCATATGCTAAACAGAAATTAGACGAGGGGTTTGATCACAATAGTCGTATTTCTCTGGTCTCCTTTTGGAAATCTACTCATTGTGTCTGATAGAAACATTCTAACAAACTAGCGTCTTGTCTTTGGCGTCGGAGCATCGAAGCTAGGCTCTCCGCTGCAGAGGCGATGTGAGAAGAATGGTCTACTAGAAAGGCGTACCGCGGTCGCCTCATATGACTCTGATAGACCTGATGATTCATCTCAGTACGGCTGATAGCGTTTTCATCTATGATGGTGAACATGTCTGTTTTGCTTAACCGTATTAGTGTGAACACGTCTCGTGCAAAATCTTCAGTTGATTGTAGACAAAGTCCTGAATTACTATGTCACAGGCCCGTAGTACCAGCCAACTGGAACTAGGCTCAGGATTAAAGATTTCGCGTGTATCATGTATACAGTCCTCATCTGCCGGCTTGCCATAGTTTCGCAGCTGCCAAAATAGCCAAAATGTCCAGCCGAAGGCATATCATTATCGGATAAGTTTCGTAGCTCAGTTTCACGGAAGAAGTGCTGATAACCGTCGTCTTTGGTAAAATATGCATGCTTTTACACTTTTCTTAGCCCCAGACAACCTCACAGGGGAGGTTGCGGATATCTGCTACCCATGGTTTGTTTAGCTGGCGTTCAAGAACGAGTACCGCTAGAAAAGGAGTAGTACCTGGCAGCTATATGTTGAGGATGAGATATTTTTTCTTAACATGAAGTATCATCAAGAAGTGGGAGACCATGGATAGGTGCCAAACTTTTCTCCATACAGGTTCAAGCCTTGACGTCGGGTGCAATGTCATATCAATGGTTACTCCACGAAACTTATTCAATCACAAGCTATCGGTCAGACTTATATGTCACTCAGACTGCTTGTTGCCACTATTCAGCCGACATCGTCAGTACTGATGCCATTCAATGTATACATAAGAACTATCAGTTCTGACAAAACTGAATACTGCCATGATGGTAGCTAATAATGAATGTTCTTCGAGTCGTGAGCTAGCCAATATCCAATCTATGTCATTATCACAAAGTGGGCATGGAAGCTCTTTTCCGAGTTCATCTCATTGGGCCAGAAGATACATCAACTTCACCTTCGTAGGAAGTTCTTGCCAATATCTCCCTCAGATCGATGTTGTCAGTAAGCCACGACCCTACGTTTTCCCAGAACATTTGGCGGCATCCGTCACCGCTGAAACCATGGAAACGACCTGCTGGGTGTATTCGCAAAAGTTGAAGTACCTTTGGCTGTCTTGTTGTTATACTAAACGCTCATCAAACGATGTGTTCCACGCAACATACGTACGGAAATGCTGTCATGTGGTACAGTAATACCCTCATGGCTGGACTTCTGATATATCTGAGCTTCATCCTCTTGTACCTGTTTGCTCCATGTCTTGCTCGGCCATGTAGTAAACTAGGCAATACGTTCATCCCGTCGAGTTATTTGCGAGGCTCGGTTGACATTATCCTAGCACTTGAGCATTGGAATTGTTGGGTCCAACATCTTGCTTTCAGGTTTTAGTGTGGCCACCGCTTCAGCTTGAGCTAGCTTGTACGCCTGAATATCGCACCCTGGCACTTGTGACTGGAGGCATGTTTAGCACCATACCTAGGCCTAAGTCACTGACAACCTACGTTCGAAACACGGTATCTAAAAACGTGTGCATGAAGATTCCATCTTGTTGAATCACGATGCTGGTGATTTCAGTCACAGAACCTAATATTGAGCTGGCAGCGACTGACCCAAGTAATCTCTCGCGCTCTGCAACATGGTCCTGAGTTGGAACGATTTCGATTTCTTCACAAAACGTGTTTAAAGTCGTGTTGACTTGAATCAATAAATTCCTTGCAGAAGCTGTGTTATCTGCAATACCGGTCCAGGCTAACCGAAGATTGTTGTCCCTTACAAATCTGGCAAAGACACAACAACACTCTGAAAGTCTAATTTGGCCAATCGTGTCCAATAGAGAGAAAGTGTCATGACAAACGATCCGGCATTTCACTGGGCGACCCGACTAACCGCCAAAGACACGCCTAAGAACTCTGGGGCTTTGCTTCTCGATTGCAATCTGGCTACGGAGTACTCACCTCCGTAACATAGCTGGATTATCTTAAGAGTGCCTTATCCCAGCGCTGTGGTGTAGTGGCCCAGACACATTCGATGGCAAATTGCTCGGTGTTTCCAGTCTATGGCGGCGATCGTTCTAGACAGAGACGTAACTTTTACTTGGTAGTTGTTAATGCTACCCTAGCAAGTCTAGTATCTTGATTTTCATCCTCTGCGGAACGCGTCAATCGGGGAAGATGAGTGAACAGGGCTGCAAAGCACCACAGTTAGACTGTCGCAACAACCATAATGATTGATGTTACTTACCATCCTAGTAACGATATCTTCCATCAGATGTCGACGAGTTTCATGTGTGTCGATAAGTGATGATCGTCCTGTTGTCTTATCCATCTCCCCACCCGATGTAACACTCACTTGACTCACCTACTCTTTGCAGACGACCCTGCTGCTGTTCCCTCCCTTTTAGGTAACGTTTTGTTGGCTAGGTCGCGAATCCAACTCATTCAGGATCAGAACGGCATGTGCCGCACATTTTGAGTGTCTTGATAAATGCAGGCTATTTCAACACCAGCATTTACCGACGAGATGATCGCCCGGGGTACTGCCGCGGCAGTCGTGTATTAGCAGGAATTGCCAGCATGAATACCATAGCACACATCACTTGTACGCTAAGTTCGATGGTGCTTGTTAAGACTGACTACGGAGTTTGGTAGCGAGACCGAATTAGGAGAGCCATGTCACCAAAACAGCGCCAGCGACACTATAATACGACAGCAGGCAAGGGTAACAGAAGGGCTGGACTCCAGATTTGCGAGCTGATTTTCTGCTCGGAGGAGCACAGGAGCTTGTTGGGCAGCGCCTTCGCCTTACGGGATATCAGGTCGCATTGATAGAAGCAGATCGTCTGCTTGATCAGGTCTTCGTGGCCCCCACCAAAAGAGCGTTCCTACGTGTCTGTGGTGGCCAACTATCTGTGCGTTGGGGCGGCGTGGATTTAAATTGGGACCAGCGGACATTCATCCGTGACACCCGGGCTCCTCTTCAAGAACAAGGATCAAAATCTGACGCAATTCCTGGTCTTTTATCCGATCAAGAGCTGCGGGTCAGTCGCGCGAACTGTATGTACAAGTAGTCTGTCAGTCCTTGAGGCTCCTTGGCGTTGGTAAATGAAACCACCGGATCGCTGGTAGATTGGGAACTGGAGGCAATAGTGTGTATGGCATGGCTGGACATGCTCGTGGCTGTCAAAAGTAAGATGAAGAAATAAAGTTGCAATCTTGCCCCAATCGTAAAGACAATCTTCAAGGACCCTGCATCACCTCCTTGCGAGGGAGAGGAAGCCAAAGAGTCAGTAGCGACCTGTCATGATTGTCTCAGAAACTAGCCGATTGCAAGCCACAATCCCACACGGTAGATGAAGAAGAAGCGTCAGAAGAAGCCGTAGAAGCAACAGCCACCACAAGAACCGCCCTAGAGGAAGCCCCATCATATGGTTGACTACGCCCGTAGACAGCTGTCAGTGTCAGAAGGGAGGCGCAAAGGGCCGGCTGGCTTGGTCCGGGTGGTCTCCCCTAAATGGGACGCCGATGACACCGTAATACGAGTGGAGATGGTCTGAGACAATCAGTTCCCTATTGCAGAATAGCATCGGCTTCAGTCCGCATCGTTGGGGGTGACACTTTTGTTCCTCCTTCTAGTGTAGGTAGTGTAGCATCTCCCAAACTTCCAGCCAGTCGCAGAATAGAACTCGGTTGGGCGTGGCTTTGTGCTCTTTTGTGTTCCCATGGCCATGTCATCCATCATGTCCGCACAGTCACCCAATGCTGTCTGTGCGAAGGTCCCAGTGAAATTCCAACCTCCACAGCTTGGGTAGCAGATTGCCACGACTCCTTATTACTTTCAAGCCTCAACGCCCAACTTGCATTACTCCGGCAATGTCCGCCTCCGGCCGCCGGCCGTTCTGCTTACTGCTTTTGTCGATAGTCAACGCGTTTGGCGTGAGCCGGGCGGAGCAGTGCTGTCAGACAATTGAGGGGTGGTTCCATGTCGCCAAAGCAGGCAGAATCAAGTGAGAAAAAAGTGGTGCCATGTTGGGTGAGATTCTGAATTGAGCTCGCTTCTGCATGGGCTGCAGAACACCAGCACAGCACAGTCGCAATTATGCACGCGAGGATACGGATACTCTGAGGAAATTTCCCGTTCTCCTTCCCCTTGCTACTACGGTCCGGAAGGACTGGGTGCTGTACAGTAAGGTAGTATTGTACATAGAATGGTCAAGTCCCAACCCGGAAAGACATTTGCCGATGAGATGGGTTTACGGTTAGAAATGCAGAGAAAAGTTTCCTCTTGCCCGAATCCATCAATTTAGCCCTCTGGAAACAAAATGGCAGGTCAAGGTTCAGCATTGCATCCATGCACGCGTGCCAGTGCCATTCGCCATCGTAACTTTTCCGAAAGCAGGCGATTATCATCGAGATGGCCCCCAACTCTTCCCAATCCTCCATCACGGTGGATTTCGTTCCCTGCCACACCTCGTGGGAAGCTGGTCAGGGACAGCAAGGCATCGGAGTTGTGTTTGAGGAGCGGCCCATTGTCACCCTACCACGACAGGACCCCTGAATCTCTTTCACCATCTCGCGACTCTTGGCGAAGGGAACCCCCCGAGGTTCAAGAGTCTTCAATCTCTTCGGAACTAATGCGGGGGAAGGATTCCAGACAAGTGGACTCTTCGGCCGGTAGCTGGATACGGCCATTCCACCGGCTACTAACCACCAAACTAACACCAACGTGGGCGATAGCGTGTGAGGCTGGATTACCCGAGATGTGGTTCGCCCCATCTGCCGACATTTGCTCACACCAGGGTCGACACCTCTTACCCGCTTTCAACATAGCCCAGCATGCGAAGATCTCACTCCAATACGGGATAGATTCTCCAGAAGCTGCAATTGAAGCCTCCCGGGGTGGCCTGCCCATGTTGCATTCTGCAAGGTTCTGCGCAGGTGTAAGTGTGACGATCAGGGGTGCTGGTGTCTCTCTCCTCTCTTCTTCCACTCACGCCGCATGGCAGCAACAGGGCCAGGCCGCACTCACACGCGCGCAGTAGCGCAATTCCGTGTTTTTTTCCCACATTGTCCAGGAACGCATATCTTCAACAAGGTCCCTCCCATCCCTCTTCGTTCCTGTCAGGATGGAGAACCCGAAGAACGACGTCCCGAATCTGCGGTTCCTCTCACGGCCCCTCCCTTGACAAACACGACTCGTCGTTCGATCCCTTTTTCCTTTGCCCGAGTACGGATATCAAAGACATTGAATCGTCTTGTTCCGATCGCGATGGCGGAAATCGAGAACCGCGGCCCGCAGCTGGTGGCCGTCGGCATAACGCTCGTCACAACAGCCATTGTCGCAACGACTCTCCGATGCTATGTCCGAATCTTCCTCGTCAAGAACTTCGGAGTCGACGACTGGTGCATGCTTGCTGCGATTGTACGAAAACCAATCTTTTCCTCTTCCTTCGCACCGATGCGCCCGAGATGAAATGTTGGAGATTTCAAGCTGACCAGAGGACCAACTTGCAGACATCATTCATCCTCTTTGTAGCATGTGCCATTACCGGTGTGCATTACGGAACGGGTCGACACAAGGTGAATCTCACCGATGATCAGTGGTCAACCGCCATGATGGTAAGCTTCCGACAGCCCTCTTAATCCTTTTGGGGTGGTAAAAAACGATGGGAGGATAGACACTGACACGCTGAAGTTCTGGTGGTACTGCTATCTGTGGTACTGTTTGTCGATGATCGCCTCCAAAATTTCCATCGGCTACTTCCTCCTCCGAATCACGGTCCGCAAGGTCGACGTTTGGATCATTTACAGTGTCATGATGATGACAGTCTGCACCGGCGTCGTCTTCTTCTTCGTCACTCTCCTCCAATGTCAACCGATATCCTACTTTTGGAACAACACGACACAAAGTGGCCGCTGCATCCCCGTGGATGTCATCATCGCTCTTACCTACCTCTACAGCGCCTTCAGCGTCATCTGCGACTTTACGTTTGCTATTTTGCCCATGGTTCTCATCTGGAAACTGAAAATGGACCACAAGACCAAGCTAGCTCTTGTTCCAATCATGGCCATGGCCTGCATGTTCGTGCTCTACATCCGTCTGCTTGCGGCCAAATGACTGACTACTACCCTCTTTAGTGCCAGCGCTGCCGTCGTTGTGCGTATGCCTTTTGTCAAGGACTTCAAGAATCCTGACTTCCTTTGTAAGTCGAGCTCCCCCCCCCCCCCCATGTCTCATCGTGATTGATTTAAGGTTGGCGGTGGCTGACTCGCGCACTTCCAGATGCAACCGTCGATATTGCAATCTGGTCCACCACTGAACAGGGTCTGGCGATCACCGCAGGTAGCCTTGCAACGCTCCGCCCACTCTTCAGACTCGTAGGATACCGACTCGGCTTTACATCCATGGGACCCTCGCAACTCCACGATTCCGAACGCGGCGCCCCATCTGCTATGGGTGGCAACATCAAGAACGTCAGCAACAGTAGCTCAAGCCGGGGCCAACGACGCGGCCCTTTCAGTCTTACCACCTTCATGTCCAAGGATGAAAGCGAGAGTCATGAGATGGGCAGCGGCAGCGAACAAGAACGAAACCAGCAGCAGAAGATGTCTTCAAGTAAGCGCGCTCGCGGCTGGGAGTCGACAGGGAGGCGGGATAATGAGAGCGAGACTGAACTAACTTTCGAAGCCTCAAAAGAGTCGGTGGGGAGTGACCGCGACAACATAGTCGTTGTTCAAACCTTCTCTTTGCGGGAAGATCGATTGTAAACATTGTACACATGCTTACTGTAAACGATGAATCTAATATTCGACGCCTCACGAATGGGAATTGGGACATGGTATATATAAAACTTAATTGAGCAACATGTATATGAAGAAGCCCTGCAAACGCGATCCAATTGCCATCATGCAAATGTCAGGTCCATCAGGCCAATCTGATGTATTACTTACTTGACAGGAGATGCATCAGATGAACCACTCTCCATATACCCAGGCACATGGTTGGTATGCACTTGCGATCTTAACTCAGCAGCAAGCCATGATTCATGTTCTCCTGAACATAGCTGGAAGCTCATTGTCTCAATCTCGACAAGCCACTCAGTCGGGAACATTGAGGGCAAGTAGCCAAGATGCAGGCACACGAACTACACCGGGGACCGCAGCAACAAGGCACAGGAAAAAGTGATTTAACAAATCGACCCTCAGGTTACTTGAATTCTACTAATAGGGCTACATATAATCTTTAAGGTCTTCCCCCAAGATTGCCCGCGCCACAATGAGCGAATATCCTTGTGTTGTTCATTCGTCTAGGCTCCAGACCAACCACGGCTTCTGCAGCCACGATTACGACAACCATAGGGAGCCTGTGTGATCATGCCAAGTAGAGAGACATTTGGTTTTGCAAGGGAAACTTCGACGCAAGAAGACTCGCAGTTCTCTTTTCCCAGCAACGCAAGCCGTCTCGCAAGTTGTCGCAATACGCATATTGTCATCCGACAGCAATACTGTACTTGGTGTTGCACGGTGAGGCTGGCTGTAAGCATCACTGTTACTACAAACCAATCACTCTGGCTACAGCGATACGCCAATCCTTGAAAGTTTTTTGGCAGATTGTCGATCCGAAATAACAAGTTGAGCTGGTTGTCACTGCAAAGCATCGTCGTCCACACCAACAGCATTGCTATGCAGTGCTGAAATGAGTGTCAAGCACACCAGCTGGAGTACACTCAGGGCCGCCTCGCAATGTCGCCTCAGAACCACGAACAACGCAAGCGTCATTGTTTTCCTCGTTCTCATTAGACTGGACACAAATTGCTCCTAGGACGTTCGAAAGTAGTTGATTCGTCCGAATGATTCTCTAAATATACTTCCCTAACGCTCTGTTTCTTGAAGTGGTTCGTCTTTGGGTCTCAGGACCGCAACCACATCCTTGTTCTAGTCGACGGGGACATGGCATGCTACATCCGATCCCTTCAATGGCGAGAATCACTCTCAAGAGTTTTGAAACTTGGTCGCTAGTGTGCAGTGTTGATATCAAGTCTCGTCCTTCATGGATACGGCATTGTGTTGGGGCCTCGTCGGACCAGCTGGCACTCCATTCTGTATTGGCCTCGGAAGACGGTTCAGAGAGCTCTGGTTGGCCTGCGATAACGGTGTTACTGGCGTCAATGGTGTTGTCGAGGTTCTATCAGCATTTCCCATGCTCTGACCTCGCGCCAGAACAGCCAATGAGTTCTTGAGTGTATTCAATTGGGCCTGAAAATCGTTACTTTCGATTGCGGGCTGACGGCCGGGATGAGGCTGCTGCTGTGTCGATGTTGTCTCCTTTTGGCGTTGAAGCTCGGCCTCGATCCGATCCATTCTCTTGGCCTGTTCTTTCTTTGCTTCCGCCTGTTCGGCAACGTGGTTCGTGAGGCGTGTCTCCACCATTGCGATGCGATTGTTGAGAGTGCCCAGGTGCTGATCTAAGGAGGTTTTGCTAACATCAACGAGTGTTCTGCAGTTATTGATCAAGGTTGTGCTGATAGCGATAGCTTCCTCCATCTTCAAAATTCGAGGCATGTAATCGGCATTCGGTACTTGGTCGGCGATGGCTCTTTCTATCCTCTCAAGGCGGTCTTCAAAGCCCTCTGGACGCGGCAGGGTTGGGTCAGCTCGCGCGTCCATCCGTTCTTCCAATGCGGCTAGCCGTGTCTCGGTCCGGATGCTCTGCTGAGTATCTACCCCTTTTCGATCTTCTGATCCTATTCTGACGGTTTTTTTGCTTGTCTCGGAAGCTTGAAACGACTCTGTGTTGGAAAGAAGACCGTGTTTGACTTCCTTCATCTCTCGGCTCAACGTCTTCAAATCGCCTTCGAAGCTTTCGATAAGGCCATGCTGGTCTTGCTGCTGTTGTTGAATCTTTTGGCTCGATTTGCGACATGTCATAATCTCCGCAACAAGGCTGTTTATCTGGCTACTGAGCATATCCAACTTTTGTAGGGCATCTTGGCACTTTGAAGCAGTGAGCAGGTTGAGCTGGTCGTGTGCTTTTCGGATATCTCTTGAAAGCTCCTCAGATTCCATAACGAGGCTTGCTTGTTGTTTCAAGAGCTGCATGGTCTCGTCGTTTTGTCCAACTCTGGTCTCGAGCAGTCGGAGTAGCTCATCGTCATACTGCGACTGTTTCTGGTGTCCGATGGTGGCTAGGTCATCCAAATGCGGGTCATATGTCTTGTGTTGTTCTTCAGCCAAATCCTGACTTGCATCAAGCATCGAGCCTGCTGCCCCATGGTGAGTGGGTGTTCGTCGATGGTCTTGGCTGCTCATTACTCGGCTAGAGGGCTCCTCGTGACAAGGGGTGAGCTGCCAGTTCAGTCGCGGGGAGCATGACGGCGATTCCGGGAGGCATTGCCTTTTCAAGGAGTCGGGTGCATCAGGGCTAGGTTTCCTTTTCCGCCCTTGGCTTTGGATGAGGTCATCGATAGCGCTTTCTGAAGCACCCTGAGTAGACGACTGCCTGATGTTATCGTAGCCGAAAGAAGCTCTGCGTTGCCTATCCGGTGTTGTCGTCGAGATGCTTGGGAGGCTCTTGCCAGAAGGTATCATCTGGAAGTGGGCACTAGTGGAAGAGTCCCTACGTTGACGCTGGCCCGATGGTACTGATATGCGCGAAGCCAGATCCTTGCCGATGCTCCGTATGCTTCCGCCTCTTATTTGAAAGCTCGAAGGTGTGCCCTTCTTGATGGGGAACGCCCCATACGTGGGAGGATTATCTGGATCGATGATAGACATCCGGTCATGCTTCATCAGCTCTGACCATGACTCCTCAACGTACTTCCACTCTTCTTGAAGTTCCTGGGTTGTCGGCTGGGCACCGACTGGCGGGTCAGGATCCCGGGAATTCCACGCGTCGATGAGATTACTCAGGAAGTTATGGCGCTTCTTGTGGATCTTGGGGGTTTCCAGGTATACGCGGCGACGATCCGAGTAAATTTCTGCGAGGTCCTCGACCATTCGAGAGCTGGCATTAGACACACCCCAGTGATCGCGTATGAAGTCCCAAAAGCGGATGCGATCGAAGGCCAGATGTTGACATCGTAACAGAAGCCGGAAAAGAATAACGAGGTTAAGGTGTATGCGCCCTTGACGATCGGACAAGGTCTTCAACTCGGCAAATCTGTCAAATCTCTTTGCATTGCCAGGATGAAGAAGAATCGCTTTAGACAGGGCCACTGAATTCGGCCACGGGGGAAGCGGGAGCGAGACGGCTGTGATCCAGAATACGTCGTTGTAGTCCCCTTTCCCCACCATGGTGTAATATGAATGGTTCAAGGCCCGCGAGGGTATCGCCAGGCTAGACTCTAGTGGGGAATACAGATGATGATATCGAGAAAGAGTGTGGGCATGAGAGAGCCGACGTCAAGAAATCTGCGTGCGTGACACTGACGCGGAAGGGACGGGGAGCAAGGATGGAGGGGCCCTGACCGCGCAGAAGCCGAGGACGCGGAACCTGGGAGATACCGGCACCGCCGCGCGTGGTGGTTTCAGGGGTCCAACCAGAAGGTTCAACGCTCTGTAGCCCTGTGGAGTCGACTCGCCGAGGATTTGGCTGTCAGTGTTCTGGAACGAACTATTCGTAAGGTACCTAAACGTTCTCTTGTCACCGACGGGTGTTACCTACTACGTAAGCCAGACTTCCCTGGACTCACCCAACTCATTCATTCTCACATTTCGTCACACTCTCAGTCTCAGTCTCACTCTCGCTTTCAGTCACACCCTCACTGCTGCTCTGGAACTAAGCAATTTCATATACCTAGTAGGCGACACCTCTGGGTGTTTGCTCATACTCCGTTCTCATTTTTCACATCATCATTCCCACCGACATCATCAACATCATTTCCTCAACGCCACTTCAAGTCTCCAATCGCATTGCTCACCAGCACGACCCTCATTCGAGATGTTCAGCCCATAACCAGCACACTCCGGAAGCGCACCTTATTAGAAATCATGTGTTCCGAAGCCTTCTTCGCGTCGTCCAGTGAGAATCTCTCAACCATGCACTTAATGCCGTGTGTTGCTGCAAAGTCAATGGCCTCCTCCGAGTCCATCTGATGTCCACTGGGCCATCCACAAACCGACTTGCCTCCAACGATAAGGTCAATCGTGTCGACCTCCAATCCTCCGACAGGCGCCAAAACGCACAGCTTGCCGCCTGGCTGCAAACCACCGGTAAGCGGCGAGATGATCTTGGGGTTGGGTGCTGTCGCAAGGATCAAAGCAGCACCTCCAAGCTTCTTGAGCTCCTTGACGGGGTCTGTTGCGCTCGAGTCGATGTACTCATGCGCACCCAACTTCATCGCAAAGTCCTTCTTGGTGGACCCGGAACTCAGGACCACGACTTTGTAACCCATGCGACTGGCGTACTGCACGCCAAGATGACCCAAGCCGCCGAGACCCTGGATGGCAACGAGATTGCCTTGCTCGATTTGCATCTTGCGAATGCTGTTGAAAACGGTAACACCGGCGCAAAGAAGTGGTGCTGCTTCCGCAGGATCAACGTCCTTGGGCACCCGGACTGCCGACTCGGCACGGAGCAGCACGTACTCGGCGTACCCACCATCCCGGAACACGCCATTGATCGTCTCGTTATCACAGGCTTGGAAGAACCCCTTTTGGCACTGTCGACACGTTCCGTCATGCCCTGCATGTCACCATTAAAAAGAGCTCTTGACGTACAAATGCATGAGAACTCTGGAACAGACATACCTCCGTGCCAAGCACCTCCA